AAAATCTTTAAAAAAAAAAAAAAGAAAATCTCTTAAAAAAAAAGTATATGAGAATATGTAGGCAGAACACATTTATAATACCATAGATCAATACATGTAGCTCATATAGAAATAGCCTTGGGAAAGGATATTTTCAGGAACAAGGGCTAAAATCTTATCCCAGCTTTCTTTATTTTCAAGAATATCTTGATCAACTAAGGCATATTCTTCAAAGTATTTTTTTATTATGTTTATAGATTTGCTGTAGGAATAACAATAGCACAGTTCTAATACTATTAGTAACACATACACCACATAGTTTTTCTTGCCATTTGGGAGGCTAGTACTTGCTTCTATTAATTTTTTTTTTTAATGAGCATATATTAGTCTAATAAGAAGACAAACAGAATTAGCTAACAAACAGAAATCAGCTACGTAAAATGGGAATAATGTGCCTTCAAAGGGTTATGAGAGTTAATTAAGGCATTCTAAGGGGGAAGAACCTAGTATAGTACCTGGCTCAGAATAGATATTCAAGAAATGTTTGCTTCTTAAACTCTACAACTTAGCAGGTTAATAGCATCATAAATATGTAACAAGGGTAGAAAGCAACCAGGCCAGGACAACATAATAATACATCAGTAGTAGTGTGGGGGATAGAGTCTACAGTTCCTACTCTGAATTACTTGCTTTAACATCTCAACAATTATGTAGTGCTTAGCAGTTTGCAAACAGATTTCACATCTATTGTTTCATTTATCTTTGCCACAACTCTGAGAGAGATGGAGCAGATGTTGTTTTCCCCATGATACATTTAAGGAAATAGAGGCTCTAATATTTTGTCAGGGTCTTAGGAAGCCACAGAATAGAGATTCTTACTCATTGCAATGCTCTTTTCACCTAGAGAAGTAGTGAATTTAGTGGAAAGAGTATGGGTTTTGAATTTAGGCAGATTAGGACAAGAATCTTAAAAATTTAACAATTGTGTGGTACCAAAGAAATTATACAATCTTTCTAAATCCTACTTCAGCTATAAATGGAGGTACCATCATGTCCCTCATGAAGTTGTTAAGACCAATGAGAGCATTTGTAAAGCACCTATCATGAATACTGCAGCATGAAAGAGCCGTTCAATTAACTTTAGCTATTATTATCTGTAAAATGTTACCCCAAGAGAGAAAATTGGTAACAATGTAATTCTAAAAGCACAAGTAGGTAAATCAGACACAACTTAAACTGCATGGAGTCTTTTCCAACAGACCTGACAAAAGGGTGAATTTTTTCACTTAGGTGGACTTTCTTTTTAACGTCTTGACCACCCTGAAAAAGAAACCATCAAAAAAGAACTTCATGTATATGACACAAATGAAATAAATTTTTTTATGTGTTCTAAAGATATTGATTAAATTCTGTCAAAATATAGAAGTTTAGATGGTGTTTTATATAGTCTCAATACCTGTAACTTTCTGGGTTAACTTTGCTTGACATAATTGAACCAGAAAAGTAATTTTCCTTTTGCTACAAAGGAGGATACTTATAGCAAAATATGAAAGATTTTTAAAAAATGTAGCTACTATGATTATTTGATCTGCTAAGATCATCTACTCTGGAATGTGGATGCTATAAAAGATAGTTTCATTTTTTTCACTAAACATTTCAGGCTTGATAACATCTAGCAAACAAAGAAATGTAAAGTATTATTGAGATCTTACCTTTACAAGACTCAAATACTCAACTATCCCAGAACGTACTGCAGAGGACAATTTTCTAACTGATTCATCACAGACCCAACAATGAACACCTCTCCTTCCAGAATAGACCCAGAGACGATGCTTAAATCCAAAGTCCTCTGAGGAGAGGAGAAATAATAGGTTTTAAAATCTATAAATAAATTTACAAACTCCTGGTTCTTGCTTACTTCCTTGGCTTCATTTTTACCTCTTATCCACATGTACTCACCTTAACTATACTAAATTATGTGTAGTTTCCTGTGTCTCCCATGGTCTTGCCTTCATGTCTATACCTATCCTATTCTCTCTGCCAAGAATTTCTTCACGCCCCAGCATTTCCATTTCTCTTCCTGACCAATTGCCGTTTATCATTTAAGACCCCATCTAGGGATATTAAAAAAGTTAATAAATTTAAAGTGTTTAGAACAGTGCCTGGTACATAATAAGCACCCTAAGAGTTAGCTATTTTTTTTTTTTCTTTTCTTAAGAGTTAGCTCTCGGGGCACCTGCATGGCTCATTTGGTTAAGTGTCTGCCTTGGGCTCCAGTCATGATCCTAGGGTCCTGGGATCGAGCCCCACGTCAGGCTCTCTGCTCAGCGGGAAGCCTACTTCTCTGTCTCCCTCTGTTTGCCGCTCCCCCTGCTTGTGCTCTCTCTGCCAAATAAATAAATAAAATCTTTAAAAAAAAAAAAAAAAGGTAGAATTAATACCGATTGGATATGGGGAATGAGGAAGTGGCCTAGGATGATTGCTCAGGTTTTAGGCTTGGGCAACTGGAGAGAAGGGGGTTGTCCGGCACCCAGCGGGCACTCATTACATTTGTTGAATATTGAATAGATTTAGGGATAGGAAATAACATGAAAATGAGGAGGATCAGATTGCAATGAAGCGTCCTTATACAGTTTTGGAAAGTTTAGTTTGCGTGATACCCCCTAAGCACCCTATGCTTTTCTTTCATAGACCCCATCAGTATGTAATGATATATTTATTTGTGGGACTATATATTTAATGTCTGTTTTTCCTGCTAAGACCATAAGTTCTAAGATTTCAAATATCATGTCTACTTTACTCACCTCTACTGTCTCCAGTAACTTGATAGGACCTAGCACGTAGTTGGGGGAATACATTATGGAATGGATGGGTGAATCCAGGTGGGAGATGTCCAGCAGGCACTTGGATCTGAGGAGCTAGATCTCAGGAGTGAACTGGACTGAAGACAGAGATTTGCAGGTCATTAGCACTCAGATTAGTGTTGAAGCCGATGACTGAGGATATGTACAGTGAGAAGAGAAAAAAGGCCAGGAGGGAACTCTTAAAGATACTGACTTTAAAAACTGGGTAGAGGATGGGGAGCCAGCAAAAGACAATGTGAATGAATAGGAATAGAAACAGGAAAAGAGCTGGGAAGGGTGGTTTCATAAGAGCCAAGGGGGGAGAGTTGTGAAAGGGTGCTGATACCAATTCCAATGTGGGTGGAGGGTGCACATATCCAAACCAATTCTTCAGACACTAGCTGGGTATCCTATAATTCAACACTATCTACCTGGAGCTAGCATCAGATTCCACAGGTTAAGGGTTCAATCACGCAAGACTGCCTCACTTCAGATGCCGATCGCAAGCCCCAGCTTGTCACCTGTGCTTCTGACCAACTGGCTACAAATCAGAGGGTCCCACAAATCACTCCTCAGGTTTGATTAATTTTCTTTTCTTTTTTAGATTTTGTTTATTTATTTGACAGAGAGAGACACACAGTGAGAGAAGGAACACAAGCAGGGGGAGTAGGAGAGGGAGAAGCAGGCTTCCCTCTGAGAAGGGAGCCCGATGCGGGACTCGATCCCAGGACCCTGGGATCATGACCTGAGCCGAAGGCAGCTGCTTAATGACTGAGCCAGCCAGGCGCCCCAGGTTTGATTAATTTTCTAGAGCTGCTCACAGACCTCAGTAAACCCCTTTACTCACTAGATTACCAATTTATTACAAAGGATATGACTCAACAGCCAGATGAAGAGATACATAGGCAAGGTATGTGGGAATGGGCTTGGAGCTTCCATGCCCTCTTCAGATTCTACCTGAATTTAATCTACATGTGTTCACCAACCTGGAAGCTCTCTGTACCTTGCCCTTTTGGGTTTTATGGCAGCTTTATTACATAGGCACAATAGATTAAATCATTGACCATTGGTGATTAAGCTATCTCTAGCCCCACTCTCTCCCGGAGGTCTGGGGGTGGGACTGAAAATTCCAACTTCTGTTCCTGGTTGGTTCCCCTGGCAGCCAATGAGGTGCTTTCCAAAAGTCACCTCATTAACATAAGCCCAGTTGTGGTAGAAAGATGCTTGTTAGAAATAGCAATACATCATTTTACCTTCATGGCTCTGGAGTGATTTCAGGGACTGAGGACAAAAGGCCAAACATTATTATAAGGAAAGATGCTCCCATTGCTCTTTTTTTTTTTTTTTTTAAAGATTTTATTTATTTGTCAGAGAGAGAGGGAACACAAGCAGGGGGAGTGGGAGAGGGAGAAGCAGGCTCCCCGCTGAGCAAGGAGCCCGATGTGGGACTCGATCCCAGGACCCTGGGATCATGACCTGAGCTGAAGGCAGACGCTTAACTGACTGAGCCACCCAGGCATCCTTTCCATTGCTCTTTATCCCTTAGGAAATTCCAAGGGCTTTGGGAGCTGTGAGCCAAAAACATGGACAAAGACCAAACATATATGAAAAATAAATAATTGGTCATCTGAAAGACCAAATATATATTTCTTACAAATCACCATATTGCATACTGGTATATACTACATTATGGATGAACCTTGAAAACATTCTGCTGAACAAAAGGAGCCAGTCATAAAAGGCCACATATTGTGTGATTCCATTTATGTGAAATGTCCAGAATAGGCAAATCCATAGATGTGGAAAGTAGATTAGTAGTTGCCTAGCGCTAGAGAAGGGAAAAATGGTGACTGCTAAGGAGTACAGGGTTTCTTTTTGGGGTGAAGAAAGTGTTCTGAAACGAGATACCCTGTGAATATACTAAAACGCAATGAACTGTATACTTTGAAAGGGTTAATTATATGGTATGTGAACTGTGTCAATAAAGCTGTTATTAACACACACACACACACACACACACACACACGTACACATCCTGGCTGCAGGGCCCAAGACTAAGCAGCTGCAGCTCTTTGGCAAGGTGTCTGACTCCATGAAGGCTGAGATCCCAGGGTTGTGCAGCTGATCTCAGATTGGCAGTCTGTGTGGGCTTTGCTTAAATTAGCCGGCCTCCTTACTCCTTACTCCAGCAGGGGTTTTAATGTTTTAGTATTCCAACTTAAATCAGAGAATGGGGGCCGAAGGGCGTGGGAAATGCTCTGGTTGGCCAGGGCAGCTCTTTTCTTTCTGCTTTTTATTTCAGTTATAGCCGATCTGGTTCTCCAGTTGAGCAAGGATGGATGACACTGGTGAGAACTGTGAGCTTGGCCCAAGGGTGTGGAGTGGCCCCTGCTCTTACCACAAGGCTCTTACCACAAGACGGAGATGTTGTGCAGAAGGTGGAGGGGGTGCGGCTATGGGGAGAGGCTGGGGCTGCCGACCTGCGCGGATTCTCGAAGTCCTCCCAAGTCTCCGGGACTGGACTCTTCCCTGAGCCGGTGGTGGTGGTGGTGGTGTGTGTGTGTGTGTGTGTGTGTGTTGGATTGAGGACTGGGAGGAGATAAGGTCTGTGTGGAGAGAGGTCTTAATAATGATTTTTTAGTTTCTCAAAAGATCTTTCAACTTTGATTCCTGAAAGAAATTTTATCACCATTGTTTTTTCTGCTTTTTAAATCTGCACTCCTTTGGTTTAAAAGTTGGGGGTGATTTTATCCTTGCAAATAAGATCCCCTGGGTATGCCCTATAAATTGAGATTCTTGACAGCGGGGAAAATCAGCTCTCATAGTTCATGCTGGTAGCTGTGGGGTAAGTTTGTGAAACTGTGGGTAAGCAAAAGGAGGCTTCTCTAATTAAGTCATGAGAATTGTGTTGCTGAAGCTTGGTAGTCTAGTTTGGGTCCTGCCCTAACCAGACCCCCGCTAATACCACCCCCTCTCCCATGGCCAGCAAGCTCTTTGCAGTGGGAGTGGTGAAAAAATTTTTTCTTTCTTTCTTCTTTTTTTTTTTTAACTCGGCCACTAAACACAGTTTAATAGTCCCATTATTCCTTCCCACTTGTTAAATTTCTAATTCTATGGAGAACAGAGAAGTAAAATTCCAAAAGCAGTTAAACAAGAAGTGTTTGAAATCTGACATATATTCCCAAACAAGAATTCCTCAGGTAACATTTTTCCTTTCTCTTTGTGGAATCCTATATACTGATATGAAGTGTGTTATAACAAAAAAAATGCCTGGTGGTGCCTGGGTGGCTCAGATGTTGGGCATCTGCCTTCGGCTTAGGTCATGATCCCAGGGTCCTGGGATTGAGCCCCACATCGGGCTCCCTGCTCGGTGGGAAGCCTGCTTCTCCCTCTCCCACTCCCCCTGCTTGTGTTCTGTCTCTCGCTGTCTCTTTCTCTGTCAAATAAATAAATAAAATCTTTAAAAAAATGCCTGTACAATGCATCAGTTGCTAGAGTATTTGCTTATTTTTTCCCACTTGGCAGAGGTAAAGTCAGTTGTTGGAATGAGGCTGAGATTGGAGAATCTGTTAAGTTTTATTCTTGGACAGATGCAGCATCTTCAAAAAGAGTTTGAGGTAACCTAAAGTAAAAGACACATGTACATTAAGGATAATAGAATGCAATTTGAGGGCTTGCTTTGGCAGCACATATACTAAAATTGGAATGATAGAGAAGATTAGCATGGCCCCTGCTCAAGGATGACATGTAAATTCATGAAGCGTTCCATATTTTAAAAAAATAAGTAAATAAAATGCAAATGGAGTACAAAAAGAAATAGAAAATCAAAGTGATAGAAGAGCGAAGAAGAAAAAAGTGCTGTCTACAAAGGCTAAGAGAATTATTCTGATTGAACATTAAATTTGGCTTTGAACTTCTAAGATAATATGAAGAACTAGGTAATTTAAAAATAATCAGTAGCAGGGCGCCTGGGTGGCTCACTCGGTTTAGCGTCTGCCTTCAGCTCAGGTCATGATCCCAGGATCCTGGGATAGAGCCCCACATTGGGCTCCCTGCTCATCGGGGAGCCTGCTTCTCCCTCTCCCTCTGCACCCCTGCTCCTGTTCTCTTGCTTGCTCAATCTCAAATAAATAAATAAAATCTTAAAAAGAATAACCAGTAGCATACTCTTTACTTAGAAAAGACAAAATCTCAAAAAAAGAAAAAGAAAGGACAAGTACTCTTCTGGTACTAAATGCATGGCAGTATGTATTTATGTATTTATTTATTGAAAAAGAGTTTATTTATTCATTTGAGACAGATACAGAGAAAGCGAGCATGAGCCGGGGGAGAGGCAGAGGAGAGGGAGAAGCAGACTTGCCGTTGAGCTGGGAGCCCTACGTGGGGCTTGATCCCAGGACCTGGAGATCATGACCTGAGCCAAAGGCAAATGCTTAACCATCTGAGCCACCCATGCACCCCAATGACAGGATTTATTGTATGGGGTCTTGCACAGTGTACGGATACATGTTGTTCTTGATTAGAATTTCATAAACAAATGCAGAGGTGATTTTCTTCAGACTTTTTTCTTTTTTTATCGAAGTATTTTTATTTTTCTAATTTGAGTCAAAAACATGCAGATCATAAGTGGATGGTTCAATGAATTTTCACAAAATTAATACTTACATTACAGCCACACAGGTCAAGAAAAGAACTTTACCAGCACCCCAGACAACCCCCTAAATACCTCCCTCCATCTTTGACCTCACCCACCTCCCCAAGGGTAACCATGAATCTGATTTGTAGCAACGTAGATTAGTTTTGCCTATTTGTAACTGTGTGTAGGTGGAATCTACACAAAGTTCTTTTGTGTCACAATATTATGTTTGTAAGATTCATACACCTAATTGTACGTAGCTATAGTTCATTTTTGTCACTGTATAGCATTACATTGTGTGAACATATTTCAACTTATTTATTCAACTGTTGTTGCATATTTGGGTTGTTTTCAGCTTTTGGCTATTACAGATGATAATGCTGCTATGAACACATCTTATGATGCACATGTGCGCATATTTTGTTTTTGTTATGCACTTAAAAGTGGAATCAATTAGTATAGGGAAGGTGGATCTTTATCTTCGGTAGATAAGGACAAACCATTTTTCAAACTGATTGAATCAATTAACTCTTTCAATGGAAATGCTGGATTGTTCCATATTTTTGCCAGCACTTGACATTGTCAACTTTTTTTCAGTTAAAACATTATGGTGGGTGCATCTGATTATGATAAGTGACTATTGACTTGGGTACCACCTAGTCTGTGTGTCCAAAATGAGAACAGAGAATGTCGTGGTGGATCAGTCCATGAATCCATGTGCTGATTATGTGTGTGTGTGTGTGTATGTATATATATATATTTTTTAATTAATTTATTTGAGAGAGAGAGCGTGTGAGCGCGAGAAGGGGGAGGGGCAGAGGGAGAGGGAGAAGCAGGCTCCCACTGAGCAAGGAGCCTGATACAGGGATCGATCCCAGGACCCTGGGATCATGACCCAAGCCGAAGACAGACACTTAACCGACTGATCCACCCAGCTGCTCCCCATGTGCTGATTATAGACTCACTCTTAGGATCAGTGACTAGACTGATAGGAGTCTGTAGACAAACCCAGGTCTGAAGATTTGAAAGGAGGGAATACAGGCCTTATTTTGCCATGCACTATATTGCAGAGAGCTAGGTCCTCTGCTTGAGACTGAAGAAAGTCAGGGTGAATTGGCATTGTCCAGTATGGTGATAAAGAGCTGGTAGAAATGATGAAGGATGTTACAACACATGGAGTTTGACATCTGAATGCACCAAATAGTTTGAGTTCTCATGGTGTAATTTCCTTCTGTTAAAGCCTGGAGGAAGAGGTAGGGCTCATAGAGAAAGACCTAGAATGGCACTGATAAAACAACAACAACCAAAATAATGCTAATAATATCTAATAATTTTATAGTGTTTTATGTGTGTTAACTCATTTAACTTTCTCAACAAATCACGGAGATGTCCTTTTCCCATTTTGAAGATGAGCACCCAGGTACGGAGAGGTTAATTCACTTACCCAAGGCCATACAACAAGTAAATGGCAAATAAAGCCTGAATTTGAACCCAGGTAATCTGGCCTCAGAATCCAGGTTCAGGACTTTATGCTAGCCACAAAATTAGGGTTGGGGGCATTGGAACTCATGCAGAGAGATTCTTGGAAAGGAAGACAAGGAAAAGTAGGCAGGAATTAGCCAGGTGGTCTCACTGGTATCAACTAACAGGCTCCCAAAAAAGTGTTCTGACAAACGGAATACATTCTGCACTGTTGCTGAAGGGGAAAATCGCGGAAGCCTGAAACATCTCCAGGTTTGGATATGAGAGTCTTCAGCACACAGCAAGTACAATGGCTGGGTAGGGAAGCCCAGTTTAGCAGAGAGCCTAACACTGAGGATTGCCACTCTTCCCTCCTCATACCTGTGTCAGGTTTTTATGATTGCTCTACTGAGGGATAGATGACGAGTATCACGGCTAGTTTCTTTTGGGTTTCCTGGTTGTAGAGAAACCAATTAGGGGCAGCAGTTGATATATTATGATATATCATAATATATATATGATTATATTAAATCATATTATATATGATTTAAATTTCTAATACCCATGCCAGTGGCTAGGGACCCTGTATTTGCCCCAGATTCCGAGACAACCAACGAGGTCAATTCATGGGGCTCCAAAGGAGCCCTGTCACTGAAACCTGAGCTGGAGGGTGGGATCTGGAGACTGATAGTGGGGAGGGAGGAACAAAGGAGGGACACCCTAGTGGGTTCTTAGGTGGAGATTAAACCATCTTTACTTCCTCTTGGAGCCCCTGGACATGTCCCACTTCCCTACACCCTTTTATACCTTTGTTTCCTCTTCCCCTAGCTTCTCCCTTTTTTCCTCATGCTTACATTGCCCCATCCACAAATATAAATAATAACCTTCCCTGGGAGAAGAGCTCACTCTAAATGGGGAGAGGAGGAAGGAAATCTCAGGCTGGGAAATGGCCAGATGACCTCTATAGTTCATGTAGACAGTCTCGGGACCAAGTCTCCAAGACAGGATGGGCCAATGACTGCACTGCTGGTAAAGAAAAGGCTCTGTAGGTGTTTCCTACAGAGTCATGTTTGGACTCAAGCATCTCCAGCCCAAGGGGGTAGCTCAGTGAAGACACTTACTAAGCAGAACCCAGCCCTCAGTATTGCTCATCTCCCTGAGACTTCTCCAAGGCTTTCCCTTTTCTCCTTCCCAATTTCCTTCAGGTTGTTCCCCATCCTTGCCAACACTTATTTTTTCTTGTCATTTTGG